CTAATGACCAGTAGACTCATTTGACAACATTCATACGCAGACTCATAGGATAAAAAATGTGTATTTAATGTAATATAAGTACTGTACGTGATAGGTGAATCTAAATTCATCTTCCCCAAATACTTTTACTAATCGACTGAAAACACCGAAATATGTAGAGGACACCAATGTTATGGGCTTCCAGGTTTGAGCATAAACTCCATTTATCAAACTATTTTAGAATGTTTGGTCCGTTTTATTGGTTCAACACTTTATACTTTATACTTCTTTTTTCGTTTTAAATATGAATACTTATGAGGTTAACATGGTAAACTCCAGGGCCACTGAGGCGGAGCCCGAAAGGATTTTTAAAATAAGAATGCGACTAAACAAGGTTAGGCAAAAGTCTGGAACCCTCAGTTAACTTTTTAAAGCGTTGCAGTAGGAAAACCAAACTTGACACATATTTACAACATAAGATTGCACTTTTCCCCCAGCCCCCAAAATGGGGTATTTTGGGGGCAGCCCCAAATTTTCAAATGTAAACACCTATCATGTTTGTGCTTTACTGTTTGGTTATACAGGGTGGTAAAAAAGTCCCTGGACAGTTAAACATTTTGAAAAATAATTTAGATAGAGCTACAATACTTGGTACAAAGTTACAGGGCATAAAACTCTATTTTAACACATATTCAGTGATCCAATAACTCTTCAGGGGGACGGCTCACAAGGAGTCGGAAGAAAATCTTAAATGGAAGCATAGGTCCAATATGCACATCAAATTAAAGGCCTTTTTTAGAAGAATACAATGCCACAAACCGCACTTCAAAAAGTTGATCCTGCGCAAAATGACAGTTGTTCAAAGATTCATTTAATTTACATTGCTATTATACGCTTTCTCCTCAGGGGGCAGGCACAGCCCTAGGAATCGGAAGAAAATTGTTAACGTAAGAATAGGTCGATATGCACATCAAATTAAAGGTCTTCACTTGTAGATTACGATGCCGTAAATTCAAGCTCAAAAGAATGCCTGAGTAAAAAATGACAGTCGTTCAAAGATTCGAAATATGGCGGATTCAAGAAATCTTTGAACATCTGCCATTTTGCGCAGGATCAATCTTTTGAAGTGCAGTTTGTGGTATTGTATTCTACTAAAAAAGACCTTTAATTTGATGTGCATATTGACCTATGCTTCCATATAAGATTTTCTTCCAACTCCTTGTGGGCCGTCCCCCTGAAGAGTTATTGGATCACTGAATATGTGTTAAAATAGAGTTTTATGCCCTGTAACTTTGTACCAAGTATTGTAGCCTCTATCTACATTATTTTTCAAAATATTTAACTGTCCAGGGACTTTTTTACCACCCTGTATAACTAAGGACAAGTTATTGTTTATGATTAGACCGTATTATTTGGTTAAACGAGGTTTTAAATGGCTGTAATAACGGGAAACAAATTGTAAACAAAACACGACCTCTACAGAAAACCGTACAGAACTAACAATAAAATTGGCTTCAGCTGTTCCATAAGGATGGGAAATCTACTAAGGGAGTATGTTTGAGTATGTTTTATCTATGTTATTACTTATGTTTAGGCCTACATTTCAGCCATCTTATTTTATTGTTCAACTAGCTGTACCACGGGCTTTACCCCGTTTAACTTCATAAGTATTCGCATGGCTCAATCACGTCCCGGTTGAAGTTCGTATTTTATTGTTCAATAAGTAAGTCTTTTTGCAGTTTTTACACATTGAAATACATGATTGATAATTCAGTTCATTTTAGTCTTTTAAAGGTGTTTTACTTTTGAGTCTTACATTAAAATAAGCCCTACATTTTTCGTAGGCCTATGTTTTATCTTTGACTATCAATACAACTAGACATTCCATCCCCATATTAAATTTGTAACCAGCTTTTTCATTAAAATCCTCTGTATCCAATAGCCAATGGTATTATTAAGGGCAGTATTAAAATGCCGTCTCTAAATCGTCCTAATAATGGTAGAAGACCTACATTCCAGTTACATTACAATCATATCCTCCATCAAGAATACTTGGTATTAATAATCATAAATTATTTCCAGCAAAGAAAGCTGAGTTTTACCGATTGCAGGGGTTGAAATGAAGACCAATGTTTATGTTGCACAGTTGAATTTAAATGTCAAATTTCCCCTCCTGTTGTAATACTTTAATAGGCCTACTCGTTTTTTTAAATAGTTACTGTTTTTTCATACTTTAATATAGCCTACTTTAACCGATTGTAAGGGTGAAAAATGAAGTCCAATGTTTTTGTTGTAGGCTACAGTTGAATTTGAATGTTAAATTTCCTTTCTCTTTTTTATACTTTAATGCCCTTTTTTGGATGTTAATAGCAGATTCCAACTACTGTAATATTTTCCTGGTCAAAACTACCATAATGCACTTTTGGAAGAGGTATCTGAATAACAATATGTAGTAAAAACAAATCAGAATTATTATAATTTTAACCAATAAAACCACATTACTACATCTATTGACTTTTTTACATTTAGTTACTTATACAAATATCAAATCACGTTTGTTCCGCTCAACTGGCTTTCACCTCTCTGAAAGCAACCCTAGTATTTTAATATTTGAACGATCACGTTAAAACCTTTGAGCATAAACATTTACTGAAACCATGTACTTCATTTTATGTTATGACGTTATAAATATGATGCCACAATATACCTCACAATATATGATTCACAATATATGATTTGCAATCAAAATTAAGATTTATTTTCTATTTTCTATAAATTGGAGAAATCCAGTGCCTATTAGTTATTGGACTCCTCATAATCAGAACAATCAAAATCTACACAAAATTAAAAACAGTTAGTTCATAAACTCCATTCTAATCCTTTGCGCGTTCGTCTTCTTCCACATTCGCCGTATTACTTTGTATACCCTCCAGTTGGATAGAGTAGCTGTGCAAGATTACTACATAGTACAAAAAAAGCATGGTGTAAATAAACTTAACACATTGTATAACTAACTGCGTGGGTTCCTTCGGCTCTAATATGCCATGAACTATGAATAGCGTCACCAGATACAAGATGTTAAAGAGCCAGAGAAACAACGTCAACATGGTCGCGAACTCGACGATGCTTGCATCTACCAGTAAAAGGGCTATCACTATCAACCAGCTGTTGAGAACAAACAACATAGCCAGCACCAGCGCCACTGCCTTCTCCGTCACCGTCACCGGTAATGTGTCGTCTCCTGTAGCCTCTGCACGGGTCAACAGGAACACTGCCTCTATGTTCAACAACGCTGTCACCATCATCATCACTGCTATAACAAAGCTCCCTGTACGGAGGCTACAGCAGCAGCACTTCTCAACCGTTGGAATGGTAAACTTCATCCTATTGCTATAATTTCTTCAATGACGCTTCACTGCATGCCACCTCATGGTTCAATAAAGCATAAAACTCCTTTTGGTTTTTGGTTTTTGTTTCGTGTTATGTGAACGGTTTTATTTGTAAACAAGTTTCAGTAATATCAGCTGTTTTTGTTGACGAGAATAATTTTAGAGACAAAGACAACCAAGCAATTAAAAAATAAGTAATAGAGCTAATCATTGACTATTGTCAAAGAGCTAATTCGATATTGTTGGTTAAGCTATGATAAATGGAAGAGTAAACTAATTAAGGATATACAAACGTGATTTAATCGTGTTGCCGTTTGCGCTGATTAACTGGTTCTAAGAAATCAACATCCAAATGCAGGGTGCACGTTATAAATTGTGTCTTGCATCTAATTTGTCATCTAAAAAATCTTGCGGTGAGCAACGTCGAATAGAGAGAAAGACAATATATGTGTCAAATACTTCACAAATCTTCGCGTCCAATGTTCACAATCTCATACGATGAATTGTTAATAAGTCCTTCAATGCTTTGCTTTACTTAACAAGATACCCAAAAATTTGAAAGAGTGAAATAGTGTTTATTCTACTGTCATTATAACCTACTCAGTTTCAATAAAGTAACTTATTAATCAGAACTACCACTTTCAAAATTTAGCTGCTCTTTTATTTTTATAAATTTATGCATGACTCGTCTCTGTCTTAGTTTAAATCAGTATGAAATTGTACACTACACACCTTCGTTACAATACCAAAGTACAATCAGTAGGCCTAATTCAATGATAGATAATTATTGATTCAAATGTTTTGTCATTTTGTGCGATTGAAAAAATAAACATATGAAAACAATCTACACGTACCGCAAATAACTATATCTTAAAATTGTCTTTATGTGATTCATAGAAATGAAAATTGTATTAAAAGTGTATTGTTAAAACCAATTTTATCCTTACTCGTTATGGTTCAGTGGTGTACAAATGATCACAACTGTGAAATTATGTTTTTAATTGGTGTTTACTCAACCAAGTGTATTGCAAAAACATGTTATTGTTTTGTACTCGTTGTTGAACACTTATTGGAAAGAATTTGGATGTTATTTTGAAGAATATTTTGAAGACAAGCAAAGCTATAAAATATGTTGAAATTAGTTTCCAATTATATTTTTTTCCATAATATTAGTCAGAGGCCTGTCAATGAATGAGTTTGTTGCTCTTTTTCAAAGCTATTTTTAATGAACTTTTGAAATAGAAATACACTAAATCTATTGAACACTCTTTAATTTTAGGCATTCATCATTTCAGTTTTCACAATCGGTAAATTTCTAATTTCCTAATTACCGTAACAGAACAAGTTTTTTAAGCAATGTAGATCGTGTTATTTATCACGAAAGAACTGTTACGCCGTTGGTATATTTGAATTACTTTGAGCGAGTTTGTTGTGTCCAGGAAACTAACTTGCATCGGTTTGGTCTTATTTTTGTTGCAATTTAGTAAAGTTGTAAATAATATAAAACATTATGAGGCTACTTTAGCTAGCCACAAGGAAAAATTGAAGCTCTAAAACCTTCAATACAATGAACCTGTGTCAATTTGTAAAGCCTAGATACTTTAACATATAGGTACATGAACAACCCTTGAATGTTGACTCAGTGATTGCACACTTGTGGGCAACGAACATTTGACAAAAAATATTAATTTAGTAAACAATTGTTTGCTTTGTTTGAATGAATTGGTTTTTTACAACTTCGGTAATTTATATGTATAACTCAACATTTGAATAAAAATGTTGACAATTTGTTTAAACTCTTCAGAATAATCTTTATCAGATTCCGTTGCTTCAGATTGCTCCCTCTGTATTATTGGCAATATGATTACTACCCCCCCCCCCTCCCATGCGCTTTCCGAATTAAAATATGAGCAGAGTACCCCCGGCTTGTCGTTAGAAGTGACCAAAGGGGAAGGATTCACTTATTTTATCGCATCTTCCACTTTCAATCTTAATTGGACTGAGATCACTAGACACACCATCATGGAAAGCCCTAGTGGCATTTGGGCATTGGAACGTTCATGTGGCCTGAGATCACTAGACACGGCATCATGGAGAGCTGTAGTGACAATAATGGATTTAAAGGTTCCTGTGGCCTGAGATGACACGCCATCTTAAAAAGCACTGGTGACATTAACGAATTGAAAGGTTCCTGTCGCCTGAGGTCACTAGACACGCCATCATGGAAAGCCCTAGTGACATTTATGGATTGAAAGGATCCTGTGGCCTGAGATCACTAGACACGTCGTTATGGAAAGCCCTAGTGACATTTAGAGATTGCAAGGTTCCTGTGGCCTGAGATCACTAGACACGTCGTTATGGAAAGCCCTAGTGACATTTAGACATTGAAAGGTTCCTGTGGCCTGAGATCACTAGACACGTCGTTATGGAAAGCCCTAGTGACATTTAGAGATTGAAAGGTTCCTGTGGCCTAAACTATACTAGACAAGGCATCATGGAGAGCTCTAGTGACATTAATGGGTTTGGTTCCTGTGGCCTGAGATAACTAGACACGCCATCGTAAAAAGCACTGGTGGCATTAACGAATTGTAAGGTTCCTGTGGCCTAAACTATACTAGACACGGCATCATGGAGAGCTCTAGTGACATTAATGGGTTTGGTTCCTGTGGCCTGAGATAACTAGACACGCCATCGTAAAAAGCACTGGTGGCATTTACGAATTGTAAGGTTCCTGTCACCTGAGGTCACTAGACACACCATCATGGAAACTAAAAAAAAAGACACTCACTAGAAAACCCTAGTGAGATGTTCACTAGAAAGTCCTAGTGACATTTAGGGTTTGAAAGATTCCTGTGGCCTAAACGATATATATAACCTTTAATTTCCGAATGTCTGGTAAGAAAACAAAATAACTTTTAGCCACGATAAAAACATATTTCCTGTTATAAATACCAATACAACTATCAAATTGAGCTTAGTAGTTCAAGCATTCTTGATTTAAATTGCAACTATAGGTCTTATCAGATCATAAAATATCCTCCCGGGAAACCCCCTTGAATGCTTAGCAAGACACAGGTCTTAAACACTATCATAGCTCTGTGAAAACTAATTTTCCTCTTGTTCTTCATCATTGGTGGCACCTGTTTTGTCCTGTTCCTCATGTAAAGGAGAGTAGTTCCACAAAACTATAGAAAAATAGCATAAGATAAAGAAAGCCATAATGCCAGACAACCAGGTAAAAAATACTTGGTACGATGGGAACAGTACAAACGCCATAACGAGGTTGATTGACCAGTTTGCTAGAGCTATCAAGCACGGGATTCTTACAGCGACTGATTGCTTGATAAGAATTCCAACAAGTATACTTAGTCCACAGACCAAATAGGTTGTCCCACTACACACTGCCAGAATGTTTTCAAAGTCCGATTGTTTATCTTTATTTCTCAATACCCCAAACCCCCACAGACAGTTTAAAGCACCACACAGTACGAAGAATAGTCCAATAAGAATACTTCCCGTACGTACATTAATGCCAAAACAGCAATACCACACTTTCGGAATCTCCATTGTAAACTTCATTTTTACATTGTTTATTGATATCAGATTGACATTTTTTCTGTTTATGAAGTGCTGTGACAGTTGAAATCAGCTGGGGTAAAACTTGATCTAAAATGTTTGGATTTAAATGGCAATACTACACGAAATTGTATAATACATTATTTGGTACATTTACAAAATATATCTTTTTTCAATTTTAGCAAATTTCCCATATAGGGAATAAGCTATTACCGTAGGTCTCATGGTAAGACCTGGACTCTGACCGATATACTTTTTCGTTTTGAGGTCCCCAGACGGATGCCGAAAACACCATCCGTTCAAATTCACACACACACACACACACACACACACACACACACATCCACACACACACACACACACACACACACACACACACATATATATATATATATATCTTACTAATATTATAAATGTGAAAGTGTGTGTGTGTGTTTGTTTGAAGTTGAATCACGCATTAACTACTGGACGGATTGGGCTCAAATTTGGCATGATGATAGCTCACATTCCCAATTAACATATAGGCATATTCTTATCTCAAAAATCCTTTCGGGCTCCACCCCAGTGGCTCTGTAGTTCCATATGTTAACCTTATGAGTAATCATATTTAACGGGTATTAAAGAATTTAGTCCGCTGTTTCACATATAGAAGTTGGTTCTATGATATGCAAAGGCATTAAAAAGTTACAAGAGGTTCTAACCGCGAATTCACGGGTGTACAGAAGCCACCATAAAATTAATTTAATCAACTTTGACTTTATATTTCATTTAAATTGCCCAAGTTCAAGAAATTGTCTTAAAGGATGTTAAAAGCAGTGGAACCTTCATACCTTACGTCCTGAGGTGGCTTATCATTATTCTGAGTTCATGGAAAATCGTATCAACGTGGCTACATAGAATAGAAAAGAAACAAAAAAACTTTCAAAAAACTAGGTCATACAGCTCTGCATTTGCAATGGGGAGTTCTGAGTCTCACTTAGACGAATCAACCTAAGTGAGGCCTAAATTAAATAGACCTATATCCACGACTCCTTTACCATCGGATTGTAAAGTTAATACCCTCTAACATTGTATTTTATTGCTGGCATTATTACTGTGGCGGAGCACGGGTGGTTAACTAGTACATTTATAAGGCTAGGTTTCTATGAAAAATAAGATATTTTCCAGCGACCATGTTCATGCTAATCAGCTTGACCAAGCAACGTATGCGATTTCCAATTCAAATCATGGCCGTTCCAAAGTTTGTGAATGTTGTGTAGTATTGCATGCATCCACAACTAAAACACGACTAAATCCACAACTAAAGCATTGACTTTGGTTACTTGAATTGGAGTTTCCACCCAGTATATTTGAAGAAGTTTTTAGATCCAGTTACTTCATTTCTTTTTACTAATATTTTCTTATTTTGGGATAGGTCTCATAGTTTGCACTATAACCTTTGGTCGTTGTCACCAATAACGTTCATTAGTTTATAAATATGTAAAAAAATTGTAATTAAATTTTATTGCA